GTTGTTTTGGTTTGGTTTGGTTTTTTTTGTCTGTTTGAGGACCTGTCAGTTGAATCTGAGGTGGATTGAAGAGGAATATTGAGCCCAGCAGTGCTGGCTTAATGGGCTTGATGATATTGCAAGTCTTTTCCAACCTAAACAATCCCATGATTCTGAGGGGATACAGCCAGAGCAGCTTCTTGGCTCTGGTCTTGCATCTCCTCATCCCACCCAAGTCCTTGACGCCCTATGCAGAGGTGGCTGTTCAGAGGGAGCAGAAAACATTTTCCTCTCCACTCTGCTTTTTACTGTAAATCCTTTGTTTCAAGGATGTGGGTTACATGGACATTCAGCAGAAGGTCTTACCATGTCTGCCCAAAACAGATTGACAGCAGTTCCTAAAACCACACTTCTCTGAAGATGAACTCAATCACCAGAACACTTATTTTATTGTAGCTTTTATTTACATGAAGGGAAGACCCACTCCGAGGGCTGAAATCAGACCTGGATCTGCTTTCCCATTGCTTTGGCTTCAATGTCTGTCTGCTTTGCCACATTTTTTGCTCTGCCAGACGTTTTTTGGTGCTGGATCTGGTGACCAGGCCTGTGCATGGGAGCGTCACCAAGGCTGTACCTCAGAGCTCGCTGTTCTCAGCCTTTGGCAACGTGACCGAGCTTCACCTTGGAGCAGGACTGGGAAAAGGATCACACTGGGGACTCTGTTTGCATCTGGATTGCTGTAAACAATTTCACAGAGTTATGAGCATGGCCAAATATAGGGGAGGTGCTGTGCTCCCATAGAAATGACTTGATAACCAGCAAAAGGCTTTGCAAGAGGCATGACAGGAAAACAGTGACTGCAAACATCCCTGAATAGAAGGATGGCAGGAAAACAGTGACTGTAAACATCCCTGAATAGTTCTATAGGAAAAATTCAGCCAGGTAAAACAGTTGTGAGTCAATATTGCCTTAGACTAATTAAACCTGGAGTTCTTGGCTTGCTCTTGGTCCCTTGCACCTCGGTGGTGGCTGTAGCTGTGGTGATATTTGGCTTGTTCCAGCAGTGTAAATGACAGTGGGGCTGGGTGACAGGAAAACTGGACTGGGATGGACTGTATCCCTGGGAATTTCATAGCAGAGAGGTCTAAGTCTTCATCCATCACTGGGGTCTGGGGTTGCTGGATAGGTGAGGGATTTGGTTTCCTTTTTAAGGGAGAAAAAAGCAGTTAGTCAAATTAAATTCTAATAGCAGAGTTTGGGCTGGGATGGAGCTTCCCAGGGTGAGGGGAACAACAGGAGGGGCTGAGACCTCTGGGATCAGAAGCCTCCCTGGAGGAATGGGATGCAAGCTCAAATCCCTGGTCTGAAGGAGGTGCACCAGGATTCCTGCTGCCCCTAAGGAATGCCAGAACCTGGGCTCCTCTTAGTGCCTGTGGTTCTTGGATCTGGCTTTGGAGATGGGACACAGAGGAGAAAGAGTGGTTTTCCTTGTAGTTCAAACACTCACGTAAATCAGAGCAGGACCAGCTCAGGATTCAGCGATTCAGACTGTAGTGGTTCAGGTATTGTTGAGACTGGCCTGCCTTTGGTTGTGGCTTTGGATTATAAATTATTAATTAATGCTGTTGAGTTTGTGTGGACACCCTGTAGTGGTCCTGTCACCCTGCTGTGGTGTCTTGTCCTGTGCTCACAGCTGGAGCCAGGAGGGTTGTTTGTACTGCTGTGGAATACTTGATGAGATTCCCCTCGAGTTTACCTACAGCTAAATTATTAGTTGCTGTTTTAATTTCCTTTCTCATAAAAGAAGAGCAAACATCTCATTTCCCTAGGCTGGCATGAGATCCAGAGTGGGCAGCTTCATCTGTTGGGATTGTTCTGGCTGCAGTTGGAGAATTAGCATTAAAATGCTGGAATGCAGCACATTTAGAGGCTGTTCAAGTCTTCTGTGTGGAGGGAGCCAAGTGTGGCTGAGCTGTTCCCCATCCCCTCAGTGTCACAAACTCCTGGTGGATCTGGGAGCACATGGCAGATGGGACCCGTGGTGTTTGTGATCCCAGCTGGCTGTGGAGGGGTTTGGGTCCAGGTGGGAGAGTCCTTTGGCATCTGCAGACAACAGCATAGGAGGAGATCTGTTAGGGGTTTTGGGGTTCTCTGGCTTAGAATTGTCTTACAGACATGCCAGACGTGTCTGTTTATGGGCAAATGTAAGATTTTGTTGGAAAACTTTCCCTACATACTAAGAAAGTTAGAATCTCTTGATTCTACTCCCTGGAAGTGTTCAAGGCCTAGTTGGATGGGATCTGAAGCAACCTGGTCTAGTGGAAAGTGTCCCTGTCCATGGCAGGGGGTGGGAATGGATGAGTTTTAAAGTCCCTTCCAACTCAAACCATTCCATGATTCCTTATTCCATAATATCCCTTGTTTTCTGTTGCGAGGCCATGTCTGTCTGTCTGTCTCCTGCCTGCTGGGACTGGTGTTTGCATTTGTCACATGCCAGGTGAGTGCCCTTGTTGCAGTGCCCTTTCCACTTCTAGTCCTGCAGACTTATTTTTAGTGCGATAACCTCGGTCAACAGAGTGCATTTTTTTACTTTTAATGAGTAATTTTCCACTAAACTCTGCCTCTTGGAAGGTTTTTTGTTCATACCTCAAGCGTGCAGATGGTTTGTGCTGTGTTGGCACCAAGATGCCTGTTTGAAGCTGGAGTCCTGCTGTCCTGGATGCTCCACAGGCCCTGGACAGGCAGATGGTCACTGCCCTGGGGAAGGCCCTGGGCCGGTGTCACTGCAGGTGTTGTGTCAATATATTCAAATTTTGAACAAATATTTGAATATACTGCCTATTGGAATATTTCCTAATTTAATTTGAAGCTGATAAAGATATAACTCTGTGCATTGGTTCTCAAGTGTATTTGGGCGGGGGGGGTGTTTAAAATGCTGATATTAACAGTTTTGCCATGAGGGTACATTTAATATCTGTGCATTGTTGTTTTCTGGTGGATCAGTTGATATGTGAGAGGGAAGTGCCATGTCCTGCTGACAGAGGAGGCTCAGCCTGGCTGGGTGAAGGCCATGAGCCATCTGGACAAGGAGAGCTCAGCCAGCTGGGAGAGCCAAATTTTGGGGAATCTCTGAGGGCCCCAAGACGTGCCTTGCCAGACCTCCCTTCCAGGGCTGCCCCGAGGGGGTGGTCGGTGAGGGGTCCTGAGTTGGTTGAGGTTTCAGAAGGGGGGACTGGCATGTCTTTGAGGGACATGTGGAATGTCAGGTGGGAGGAAAAGGAGCAACTCTGGTGTTCACCTGGGCTCTGATGCTGGTGCTTCCCATCCCTAATCCACCACGGCTGCCGAGGTCAAGGGATGTGTGGGAGAGAGGGATCCTTTCCTCTTGCTGGGACTTTGCTCTGCCCCTGTTTCTGTTTTGCAGTGTTTCTTCTGTTGAAGTTTAAAATTAAACGCTGGAGCTGGGAAGCTGAGTGAGGAATGCAGCTGCCCCTTCCCTGGTGCTCAGCACGGGGCACCGGGATGAGGGGAAAACTGTACGTGAGGTGTGAGGAAGGAGCACCAGGAGGTGCCCTGACCAGGGACAGCTGCAGTTTTGAGATACAGTAAAGCTTTTTTGGGGTCCCTGGAAGCAGAGCTTGCCACCCCTGGGATGTTCCTGCAGCTGGAGTCACTGCTCTGAGCGCAGTCGGGATGTGGGAGCTGCAGGAGCTGGAACAGGCTGTGCCAAGGGGGATTTCCCAGTGCTCTGAGCCACCTCCAGTCCTGAGGTCCACATCTCAGTGACATTCCTTGCTGTGACTTCCTGACTCACTGTCAGCTCATCTGTGCTCACGCTTGGGCTCCGTTAGTCACCCGATAGGGAGCAGGGCTGGGAGCTTTGAACCTGATGGCTCTGACACACAGAGGAGCTTTGGCTTCAGAGAGGACTTTTTCCTTAATCCGTACCCGTAAAGGATTTCCTTTATTGAGCTGTTAACTGTGCATAATTGACCTTGATTATATCTTGCAAAGGAGTTTAATTCCCCAAATGATGCTATTAAAGGTCTCTCATACCTCCAAGGTTTGCTTGGCCAAGTCCTGACCTGCTGTTTTTCCCTCCTCCCTGTGCCTTCAGAGGGAACACCTTGCTAAGCAGAGCCTCCCTTATGCACACAGCACTGGGAACCCTCTCCCCAGTGGTTTCTGAAACCAGGGAGTGAAAAGCAAAGTGTTATAGAGGCACTGGAAAGGAGATCTGGGCATGCTGGCATCTCTGTGTTAAACAGGAAAAATGGTTGGGAACTGAACATTTTAAGGAGCAAAGATTGAGCTGGACTTCTGCTAATTTCAGCTGGATTAGGGAGGGTGCAGCTGGGGATGAAGTCACTACCTCTGTACTCCCCTTACCTGGCAGGTCTGACCTCCTGTCTTCTCTTTGCAAAAATTATCCTCCTAATTTATGTGGGTTCCTATTTATTTTCATCCCCTAATCGTGCCCCTGATGTGCACCAGTGCCAGTTTCCTTTTGATCAGCTGCACTGCAGTGAGAGTCAGTGAGGGCAGAGCTGCTGGCATTGCCATGCAAATGACATTCTTGGGCACAGCTGGTGCCAGGTGATCCCTGAATTAGGCATTGATGGATAGTTACAGTCATTTGGGACAGCCATGTCACATGAAATTTGTCGAATAAAATGAAGGAATGAAAAATACTGTAAGAGCATTAAATATGAGATTTGCTTGCCCTTTATTAGAAGGCTTTTATCTAAACGATGCTCAATTCCTGTAGTTAATTCTCTGCTCATCGTTTTTGTATTTTGAAGTTTCTCAGAAGCGAAACAACCCTTTTTTTATACCTGACTTTTCGAAACAGCTGGTGATGCTCAGCAGGCAGAGCTGCACTGATCCTCCATGAGACCCCCTGTACCACTGGAAAAATCAGGGAGCAGAGGTGGTTTCTGAGTGCCCACCCCACCACAGGTCTCCTTGTGCTGGTCCATGGCTGAAATTCCATGTTTTCTCCATGTGCCTCTGTGCCACAGGTGAAGCAGATCATGGAGGAGGCAGTGACGAGGAAGTTTGTGCACGAGGACAGCAGCCACATCATCTCCTTCTGCGGTGAGTGTCCGACAGCAGGACGCTGATCTGGGCTGGGGCTGGAGCACCCTCTTGGTGCTGGGCTTTCCCTGCTGTGCCATGTACCATTCCTGGGAACACGGTCCAACTCCGGGGAGTGGTGCTGGGGAGGGGTTGGTGCCACCGGGTGAGTTGTTCTGGCAGCAGTCAGAGTCCCTGAGGCCTTTGCCCTGTGCCTAAAATATACTGAGATGTGTCAAGAGGGAGGGTTGCTGGCGGTGTGTGCAGCCACTTAGGAAGTACTAGAAATAATATTTTATTTTTAAATTCCCTGGAGAATTGATTCAACTGAAAGTCTGTCAAGTCCAAATATTTCTTTGCTATGATGGAATAGGAATTTATGGAAAGGAGTCTGCAGTCTGCCAGGGTGCGGGAGCAGAGAGGCTGGAGGCTGATAGAGAATTTTAGATGGAGTTTGTGGAAGATTTGCTCTGATACTGGACTGGTTTGGGGCTTGTTTTCTGGCAACTGTGCTTTTTACTAACCTGCTTTTCTACCTATTTTCTTCCTACTGGTATAAAAATTTTGTAAATGTGGAAGTGTTTCAGAATCGATCCATCAATACCTTGGCAAAGAGGTCTGTAAAAGTCTCCCTGAAGAGCTGTTGGCTTTGGGCTGTGAGATGTGCTGGGGGCCTCTGAGCAAGGACTGGGGAGCAGGAGAGGAGTAGTTGTATCTCAAAGGTAGTGGGGAACAGGACAGAAGCAGCCTTATTCCAGGTGGAATGTGTCACAGGTTTGGTCATCGGAGAGACTTTGCAATCAGGATGGCAAAATTAGATTGTTTCTGTTCTTTTGGCCCCCCTGTGCCACTCTGTCAACCACTCAAAGTGGAGAATGTGTGACTGGGACAGTCAGTGCCCAGGAAAGGCAGCTTCAGGTGTCCAGTCTGCCACATGGCAGCGTTTGTAGAAGTGGGGGGGACCTGGCTGGTAGACTGGGGGTATCTGATGAATTTCAAACTAATTTGAAACTAATTAGCGTACTGTGAGCAGGGCAAGCACTTCAGGCTGTTGGGTGAGTGAGGCTGGCGCATGGAACAGGAGCTCTGCTCTGACACCATGAGCCCTGGATTCCTGGGAAGTGGGGGAGCCTGTCTGGTGGCTGTGCCCATCTCCCGGCGGGGCTGTTGGCTGAGGTACAGCCACTGTGCCCACGTGCTGGGGCTGAGGGGCTGCTGCTGAGCAGGGGCTGCAGGCAGCGAGTGCAGGGAGCCTCACTCCTCCCTGTACAAAGAGCTCAAGGGCAGCTTGTTAATTTGGAGGCTGGGAAGAAAATGCCAGACGTGATGAGTCGCAGCTTTTGAAGGGGTTGCTCCAAGAAGGCTCGTGCAGCACTGTCACCATTGAACAGGATTGCAGCACCCACAGACTAAAAAGAACAAGAAGGGAGTGGTGAGGTCTCCTTTTCTGCCTTGGAGAGCAGAGGGGCTTCTGCCTTTTCCTGGCCTTGGACACTTCCAGGGATGGGGCAGCCACAGCTTCTCTGGGAAACCTGTGCCAGAGCCTCACCACCCTCACAGAGAAGAATTTCTTCCTAATATCTAACCTAAATTTGCCCTTTCAGTTTGAGCATATTCCCCCTTGCCCTGTCACTCCAGTTCCTGATGCACAGTCCCTCTCCATCTCCCTTGTACTCCCTTCAGATCCTGGAAGGTGCTGTGAGGTCTCCACACAAACTTTTCTTCTTCAGACTGATCAGCCCCAGCTCTCCCAGCCTGTCTCCACAGGGGAGGTGCTCCAGTCCCTGTATCAATTTTGTGTCCCCCCTCTGGATTTGCTCCACGAGCCTTTCTCCTTTCCTGCTGGGCCCCCCACATCAAAGACAGGAGCCAGTTCCCAGCCCTTTGTGTGGCATCGAAAGAGCAGAGCAGACTCCCAGGTGTGACTCATTCCCTGCTGTTCTGTGCAGCACGAGGGGATTATTTATAGGCTCCTGCGACATGGAGCTGAGGCATCCAGGCACGAAGGGCTCGTTGGTCCCTCCTGGCTCCTTAATGCTGCTGCCGCCCTTTCCTGGCTGCTGGTGTCTCCTCTCCTGCTCTGGCTGCAGTTCCTCTCTCATTTGAATGGAACGTGCACCTTCCTCGGTGTTGTGGCTCTCCAGGAGCCTGGTGAGCTTATAAATAACCTTTTTCCCTGCCAAGCAGAGCGTGCTGCAAGCCTGGCTCTGGCTGCCAGAGCTGCCCTTTTCCCCAGAGAGGGCTGCCTTCCTCACGGAGCCCTCCCCACCCTCTGCGTGGCCAGTGTACTGCAAACCCCTCCGGGTGGAACCAGTGGTGTGGCAGGAAAGGGCAGCAGCCCCTGGCCCCCCCATTCTCCTGCAAGCAGGGGTTTGGAGCAGACAAACACGAGTTGGCATCTGTCAGTCTGGGCTGCCCTGGGAGGCTGATGGAGGACTGGGAGCAGGGCTGGGGGCTGGTGTGAGCCGAGGGTTTGGTGTCCACATCAATGCTGAGTCTGCTCAGCCAGAGGGGTTTGAATCACACCAGTGATCTGGGGAACTCAGAAGTACCTTTAGATGTCTTTTGCCAGGAATCAAAGCTCCCACTTTACCTGGGCGTAGCTGCACAGAGCTTCTGCATCACATGGCTCTGCTGCAGATTTTATCCTGAGGGATGGGGAGAATCTCTTCAGAGTGTGTTTGGTGGTGACAGAAGTTATGAACTGAGCTCAGAAACTCATGTTTTTAGGGTTAAAAAACCTACCATTATCCCTGGATTTAGCACGGACAAGGTGCTCTTAGCGTGTGTGCTCCAGCCTTGGAGCCCCTGGGAGGGCACAGGGAGAGTTGTAGGTCCGTGTGATTTTCCAGTGCTTTGATCATCCTGTGTAATCAGTCTGTGTTTGGCACTAGACATCCATCCGGAGCCCTCCCAAGGGGTTTGGGAAGCAGGTTGCTGGTGGAGCCTGTGCCTGTGCACATATTTCTGTGGAGTCATTGCAAGCTGCTGGTATTGCCCGGGGTTTATCCCTGGGTTTCTCTATTCCTTTCAGTTTTTCAGGAAAAATGTTTGTGTGAACACTGAGATTTTTTGGGGAGAAAATTGCCCCATTTCCTGTGCTACTTTAGAAACCCTCAGTGTGCCTGAGCTTTTTCCTTGCTTGGACCATCCCAGCACAGGGAGTGAAATATCCTGTTCCAGCCATGCCCTCAGGCTGGGCTGAAGGGAAAACTTCAAGGAGTTGTTTGGTTTCTCCACAGTCTACAGGAAACCCGGGAGGAGAGTGTCAGTCTGTGTCTGCACAGGAATTAGCTTATCTGCAGCATGTGTTGTTAGTTGTCCCATGCCTGACAAGGGTGTTTTCCTGAAGGCCAGGAGGGAACGCCTCTGCTTTCAAATATATTGTCGGAGAAGCTTTAGGAGGTTGTGGCTGCTCCCTCCCTGGAAGTGTTCAAGTCCAGGTTGGATGGGGCTTGGTGCAACCTGGGCTAGTGGGAGGTGTCTTGATGCAAGGTCCCTCCCTGTCTTCCTTGAAGCCTCTTCAGACCCTGGAAGGTGCTGTGAGGTCTCCACACAACTTTCTCTTCTCTGGGCTGAACTGAACAGCCCCAGCATTCCCAGCCTGTGTCCATGGGGAAGGTGCTCTAGTGAGGTCTGTGCTCTGTTGCAGCTGCCGTGGAATCCTGTGTCCTGCACGGCCTGAAGCGGAGGGCAGCCGGGTTCCTGCGCAGCAACAAGATCGCAGCGCTGTTCATGAAGGTGGGAAGAGCTTCCCTCTGGCAGAGGAGCTCTGCAAGAAGGTGCAAGACCTGGAGCAGCTCATTGAGAACGCGTAAGGCACTGGCATTGCTGTCAGTCCTCTGGTCACTCGTGTTTTGGGATGAGGGTGTGGTTTGGGTATGGCTGGGGATTGCAACGTCCAACTTGAGCCTCAACACGGGGTATTGCTCCTTCAATGGAGCAGTGTCTTGCCCTGGGACTTTTCTGTCTTGAACAAACTGGTTGCTTTCCTAGGAGACTGAGTTATGCCTGTGGTTTAAGCAGGGGCGGGCAAGTTCTTATCCCTCTGCCCCTTCTCTTGTGCCTCAGGGACAGCTGTGTGTGTTGCTCCTGAGCAGTCATGGTTTATGGGCCAGTTCACTAAGTCAGCTGGAACCACATTTGCTCTGTCTCAGCGTGCAGGGCTTGAACCTGCAGTAACTCAACTGCTGTTTGAGGGCGGCTCGCTCATCCTTGGACAGGAACGAGGGAGATGGATGGAGCAGCTACCTGGGGCAGGAGTTTTATGCTATCCTAAGATGAGCTGCTCTGCCTGTGAACTGCTGTCCTCAGACACATGTGGAAAAGTGTGTGGGCTGGAGGCCTCTGCTGAGGGAGAGGCTCGTTTTGGGGATGTCTTTACAGTGGAAAACTAATTTAGTAAATCTGGTTCCAAATGCAGGTGTGGCCTTCTGGAGCAGGGGATGGGATAGATGCAGGGAGCATCTCCAGGGCCCTCTCCCAGGCAGTTCCCTGAGCTCCCCCAGCACCACCAAAACCCTGACCTTGTGCCCCCTGAGGTGTGGGAGTGCCCTGGGCTCCTGCAGAGTTCAGGGACGAGCCAGTGATGATGTTGTCTCTTGTCTTGCACCTCTAAAGGCGAAACCAAGTCCAGGGCATCCCAGAGAACGTGCGCAAGGTGCCGAAGCTGCCCAACCTGTCTCCTCAGGCCATCAAGCACCTCTGGATCCGCACAGCACTCTTCGAAAAGGTCTTGGATAAAATCGTGCACTACTTGGTAGAGAACAGCAGGTGAGTGCAGGCACAGACCACCCGTTTACCTGTCCCAGGTCACTGCCAGCATCTGCCCCTTTGATGGCACTGGGGGCATTGCTGTCTGAGCTGTGTCCAAGTGGGCCAGAGAAGTCCCTGGATGGGACAGGCCCATTGTGTCACTCAGTGCCCATCATGGGGACTCAGATAGACACCCTGCTGCTGGTGGCCACTGTGCACTCCCTAAAATAAAGATAGGCCACACTTGCCCTGCTGGTGTTTGGGTTGTCAGGGGCTGTATTGTCTTTGTCCTCTGGGATCTCTATGCTGAGGTGACCTGTCCTGGGGAGGATCTCCAGTGTTGGAGCAGGTTTTGTTAGGAGATGGTGATGTTTGCAATGTGCTGCAGAAGGTGTCTGTTCTCCAGGAATTTCACAGCTAGAGAAACAGCCTGTTAAGGGCTTTTTGCTCCTTTCCCACCAAGGGGTGATACAGAAAGAGAAGGGCATACCAGTGATTTAAAACCACTGTCTGTAACTTTGCAGTCCTGTTTTGCAGTGCTCCAGCTTTCTGCTGTCTTTTATTTCCTCTAGTAAGTACTATGAGAAGGAGGCTCTCCTGATGGATCCTGTGGATGGCCCAATTCTTGCATCTTTATTGGGTAACGCTTCCCTCTTACCCTACTTGCTTTCCAACCCTGTGCTCCCAGGTCTGTGATCTGGGTGTGAAATGCAGTTGTTTTCCCTGTGGATCCGGGGGGTGACCGAGGCCATGGGAACACCGATGGCTCCCATATGTTTGGGCTGTTCCTCTGTGCAGTGGGGCCCTGTGCACTGGAGTACACGAAGATGAAAACCGCTGACCACTTCTGGACAGACCCCTCGGCGGACGAGCTGGTCCAGCGGCACCGGATCCACAGCTCCCACTGCCGGCAGGACTCGCCCACCAAGCGCCCGGCACTCTGCGTGAGTTGAGGGGGGACAGCCCCTCTCTGGGCTCCTCTCAGAGCCACAGCCAGGGCTCTGCACTCCCTGTGTTTGAAAAGGGCTTTGGGGCCCTCTGATGAGGGAAGTCTTTGAGCCAGAAGTGCTGGGAGCATGGTCCGTGGAGACTGCCGGGGCACGGGGGCATCGTGGGGTCTGTGCCCCTTGGGAACATCGTGAATGAACAAAACGCAAGGGCAGCTGGAGTCTGCAATGTTTACTGCAAATAAAGCACACTCCTGGGGCTTTTCTAAGTACAGAAATCATCTTGGCCAGAGCCAGGAATCCTCTTAGAGGACTCTGAGGGGAAGAGTTCTGGTAACGACTTAAGTGTGTAAGTGAGGAGGGAATAAGCTTCAAGAGAGGCTTTTGGAAAGCCAGAGGTGTGTGTGCTCACCTCACATTTGTGGATGGCTCTCTTCCAGATTCAGAAAAGACATTCCAGTGGCAGCATGGATGACCGGCCCTCCCTGTCTGCCAGGGACTACGTGGAGTCACTGCACCAGAATTCCCGTGCCACGCTCCTCTACGGCAAGAACAACGTCCTGGTGCAGCCGGTGAGCTCCTGCTGGGGCATCTGGGCTTGAAAATGCTGCTCTGCCCCTCAACAGCTCCTTCTACCCCAAATTGCTCTTCAATGGAGGAAAGCACGGGCTCATTTTTGGTCTGGGAAGGCAGTGAGTGGACTGTGTTTGTGGAGGTCCTGGTGATAGGGATCCTCCCAGTGGAATGGGAGAGCTCTGCTCTGGTCTGAGTAGAAGCAGGCTCCTCTCCCTGCCCACTCTTTACCATAAAACTCCCCCTCCTGTCCTATCCTGCTTCTTGTAGTCAAATAAATGAAGTGCAAACTGCTTTTAGGTGGAGCTGACAAGTTTTCCTTGCTGAGCAGCTGCTCTCAGCCCTATCCCAAGCCGGGGAGGTGTCCTGGCATCTCTGCCAGGAGGTTTTTCAGGGCCACAGTGGGTTTCTCACTGTGGGTGAGTGGGTGGGCTCAGGGCAGCAGGCAAGGCTATGTGAGGGGCCAGAACTGGTTCCAAGGCTCAGCCTCGGGCAGCCTGGGGATGGTGCTTCATGTTCCTGGCGTTTTCCAGCTCACTCTGTCCCTGTACTTCTCCCTTCAAGCGAGATGACATGGAGGCAATCCCGGGATATCTGTCCCTTCACCAGACCGCCGACATCATGGCACTGAAGTGGACCCCGAACCAGCTGATGAACAGCTCTGTGGGGGACCTGGACTACGAGAAGAGGTGACTGGAGCAGAGAGGGTGCAAATGTTCCCCAGGGTCAGAGTTTGGATCTGGTGTCCAAACCAGCAGTGTTTTCCTGGTGACTGCAAAGCAAAACCATCATCCTCGAGTCTGTAATGGGAAGGGACAGGGAAGGAGGCGTGGGGAGGGTGAAGGGAGGTGGAGTGAGACACTGAGCTACTGCCCATTTCTGCTGGGCAGTGCTCAGTGAGGGAGCTGGGGCTTGTTCCAACACACACAAACTGGTTTTTGTTTATTGCCCTCGGGGATTTTTCAGGGGAATGCCCTCAGTGGTCTCAGGTTTATCCTGGTTATTGCAATCTGGGAAGATGAGGAGCTCATAAACAGGGAAGAGAATCTGCAGAGAGGGAATATGAACCATTCCCAGAGGATCAGACAGTGTCAGTGTGTGCCATTTTCTGGTGATCCTACATGCAGGTATTCAGAGTCCCTTGGATTTACTGGAGTCCCTGGAGCTTGTTCCTCCTGAGGTCTGCTTAGTTTGCTTGACAGGCTGTGTGGCCAAGCCCTTTTCCCTGGCATTGCCTGATGGACTGCTGGCATTTCCCCTGACAGCTGCAATCCTTTCACAGGTTGGATCGTGCCAGGTCCCAGTTTGCCTGAGAAACAAAATCCCTTTCCAGCAGCTCCAGTAAAGTGGGAGTGTTTAGAGTACTGATGCTTTGACCTAGAGATCTTCTTCAGCAGAACTTTGTCTCAGCTTTGTTCATTCTCAATTGTAGTTTTTTGGGTTTTGTTTACCTGTTCTTTTCATCTCCCTTTTCTTCTTGGCCCCTGGGCCATTCAGTTGTGCCTGGTACCCTCCCCCTAAAATGCTATTTTCATCTCTACACTCCTTCTCTGAGTTCTTGACTTGGGCATCAGCCTAAGTTCTAAAACTTCCCAGTGTCAAGACGTGACCAAGGAAGAGAGGAGGCAGATGGCACAGTAAGTATGACTGTACAGGGAGTGACTCTTGCACCCCTTCTGTCCTTCACTGCCTTCACAAGCCATTTTAAATGTTATTTAAGCACTATTTTTGTGAAGTGGCAGATGATGCTGCTCAGGATGTGGAAGTTTGCTTTGTTGCACAGAAGTAGGATGTGATGGAGTGCTGGCACTGTCAGAGAACAGTGCTGAGCTCTCCACAGGAATAAAACACTGGAGACATTCCCTTCCCTGTCTTCCTCCTGGCCCTCCCTGCCCCTCTGCCCTGTCTGGTGGCCACCAGCAATCCAGCATGTTCTAGATTTTCTCAGACCCCTCGAGTCTGAGGCAGTTCTTGAACAGAAGCAGCTGAGACCAAATCTATTGTCAGCTCTGAAAGAAACCCCACCAGTTGTGAGGGTTTATTTCCCCTCCCTGGAGACAAGAGCTCAGCAGAGCAGCAGCTCAGGCTTGGACAGCACTGCATGTTCCTTTGGGGCTCCAGGGCCGCTCCTGATGGATTCTTGGGGTTCTCCCAGCACTGCAACAGGGTGGGGAGTCCTTGGGGTGCCCAGAGGGAGTGCTCAGCTCTGTAAGGCTCCACGTCACTCCCTGCAATTGTAAGGATTCATGGGCGTGTTGTCTATGTTTGGGAATGGTGTGAGGGTACAGAAACCACCTGGGGCAGGTGGGACTGGACTTGCCCTGGCTGAGCTGAGGTGGCAGGGACAGTTACTGGTTCTGGAGGGATGTTGTCACTCACCAGGCTGGTGTCACTGCTCTGGGACCTCCTCCTTTCCATGGCTTCCCCTATCACCAGGGTATCTGGAGGCAGGATCTGGAGCTGATGTGGGCAGGAGCAGAGCCTCTCACATCCCTAAGGCTCATGGCTTGCCTGTCTCTGTTCCAGTGTGTACTGGGACTATGCCATGACCATTCGCCTGGAGGAGATCGTTTATCTGCACTGCCACCAGCAAGGTAAGGCCAGAGCAGGGGCTGCTGGAGGCTGTGGCACCCTGACACCCTGATTCCTTACCTCTGGGGAGTGCCCATAGCTTGGATGTGGCTCCAGGACAGATGTCCGGAGCTCTGGGTGGTCACTATGATGTAAATGCTTCCAAGAAAACCTTTCCACCAGCTCCTGGCTGCAGTACCTGGCTGGGAGAGCTCCCTGCAGAGCAGGGCGCTCTGGTTCCCAAGGGTGTGATCCCAGCAAACCTTCTCCAGGGCCCCAGACTTGTTTGGATTCTTCTCCAAGTCCATTACAAGGAAGAAAGTCCTTTTTTTTCCATGCTAGAAAGACAATTCCCTGACCTTTCCTGCCCTCTGCCTTTCGAACTGGTGCTGTTTCCCTCGCTGATGTCTCTTCTCCTCCTTGCTGTCACTGTTGCCAACAGTAGACAGTGGTGGGACAGTGGTCCTGGTGAGCCAGGACGGGATCCAGAGGCCACCACTGCGGTTCCCCCGAGGAGGCCACTTGCTGCAGTTCCTGTCCTGCCTGGAGAACGGCCTCCTGCCCCATGGGCAGCTGGACCCACCCCTCTGGTCACAGCGGGGGAAGGTGGGTTTTCTGAAACTGGGCTGTTTCCTGGGGCTCCTGCTGGTGTTCCCGAGTGGAGCTGCTGGGGAGAACCCTCTGCCCGGCATCAGTGGCTTCTGTGTTTTAAGTAATCCCCTTCCCAAAATTAATAAGGAAGATGGGCTTCAAAGTATGGTGATTTGTTTTAGCTCTTGGCTCTGACCAGCTAAACAGACCCATCGGGAAAACTCAGGGGAGTGGTGTGGGAGGGCTGCCCATGGGGCACAGCAGGTTTGGTTTTTGTGGGTTGTACATACCCTGTGCCCAACAGGGTTATAGATCCACCCTGTAATTGGAGGCTTCATCCAAAGGCTGCTCCAGCCTAGGGAATGTGCAAAGTCATCCAGGCTGGAAGGGCACATGGTGTGGTGGGGCAGGAGCTTGGGAAGCGAGTGCTTGGGTGTGGGGCAGCTCATGAAGGGCTGGGTTTGTTCCCCCAGGGCAAAGTGTTTCCCAAGCTGAGGAAGCGAAGCCCCCAGGGCTCCTCCGAGTCCGCGTCCGACAAGGAGGATGACGAAGCCACAGATTATGTGTTCAGGATAATATACCCCGGGACGCAGGCTGAGTTTGGTGAGTGCAGGGCAGAGTTTTGGGGGGTTCTCACAGGGTGTTTGAGCTGCTGGGACATGGCACTGATGGGCACATGGCAAACCGGGAGGTGGTTCCAGAGGAAGAGCTGGGGTTGTGTCAGTGCTGCCTGTTCAATGTCATCATTCCTTCCTGGGAGGGTGGGGAGGCCCTGGCACAGGTTGCCCAGAGAAGCTGTGGCTGCCCCATCCCTGGAGGTGTCCAAGGCCAGGTTGGATGAGGCTTGGAGCAACCTGGGATAGTGGAAGGTGTCCCTGCCCATGGCAGGGGTTGGAATGAGATGAGCTTTAAGGTCCCTCCCAACCCAACCCATCTCATGATTTTATCTATGGATTTTTGTTTCAACCTTCCACTTGCTGCTGAGTCCTTTGTTTCTGCAGCTGCACAACAGCCACAACAGCCTTAATGAGCAGAAAAAAAACCTCTTACACATAACTTGAGTAGGAAGATTCACTTTGGTCACTTGGGGGTCGCTTTCCACCATCACAAACCCCCAGTGCTGATTCTTCTCTTGCTGTCCCAGGCCAGCTCAGCCAGTGCTGCATTAAATCCAGTGATGTTCCTTCAGTGTGGCTTCTGCAGTGCAAAGGGAAGGTCACAGCACCCTTCTCCCATGTGTCTTCAGTCCCTGACTCATGGGGCAAGGGAGGGGATGCTGCTGGATGCAGCAAACCAGAAATGTCTCTTAATGTCTGGTGATGAATGATTTGAATTTGGATGAAATATCTTTACATTCATTCTCACTCTTCTGTGAGATACCAAGAAGCCTTTTCTGACATGTGGGGACATCATAGGTGACTTTATAGGGGAGAAAACCCATCAGTTTTAGATAGAAGACTTGTGGAGGGTTTTTTAAAAAGCTATGGAGTCTGATCAAAACCTTGTTCCTATATTTTTGAGGCTATAAGGGGGAAATCACATCCCCTGTGACTCCTCCATAACATCAGTTAAGATTATACTTGCTTCTCCCTGCCTTTAGCTGACTAACACAATTCAGTGAGTCAGATAAAAATCTGATTGAAGCTAAAACAGCAGAGATGCTCCTTTCTGTGGCTGCCTTTTGATCTACCCCTTAAAATTCCATGCTGGGGGCCACATCTTCTGTGAAATAAATTGCTGCCATCTCCTCAGTTGGCGTCATCACAGCCTGTGCCGTTCCTGTGGACCTTCCCAGAGGGGGGTGGAACTGCATCATTCTCTCTTGTCTACAGATTCATCCTTTCTGCCCTTTCATTTGTGCCCTTGTCCTCTCTCTGTGTCTCTAGTTGCCATTAATGGTACTTTTCACCCATTCTGTGCACCTGTGATCTCTGTGAGTGCTGGGAGAGGGAAGATGACGAGGACTCCAACTGCAAGCAGTATGGTGGTGATCCCTAAATGGTGTCTGAGTCTCCTCATCACGTCCCGACCTCCCCGTGCTGCTCTGGGGACCTCCCAGCACCAGTGTAATGGGACTGTTGTGGTTGGTCGTGTCTGGCACTCAGCTCACCTGTGTTGTCACTTGACAGGTCCTGCAGAGGTGTCCCTGTCCCTGCTGACCATCACTGACCCATCAGCTCAGTGGGAGGGGAAAGGAAGGGGCTTTTACAGAAATATTTCAACATTTTTTCTTGCTGTTACCAGCTATTCAATACCACAAACAGGGAGAGTATGAGACCAAGGGTGCGAGGAAACCCTCTCACAGCCAGAAGATAGAATTTCTACCATGATTTAATTTCCAAGGAGGAGTAAATAGGATTATTCTCCATCCCCTGGCCAGTGTGTGGGCAGTACCTGAGCAGGACACGAGACTGTTGCAGTAGAACTTCAAGTTTAAGCAGGATTTAGCAAGTGACAACATGCAGAGCTCCTGCTGTCCCTCTCAACCTCTTCATCCATGTCTTCATCTCCTGTCTTTTGATTTTGGTGATCCCTTCTTTCCCTGAATCTTGGATGGGATCCTAGTGTTTGAGAGGTGAGGGCTTTTGCCTGCCAATGATCGGCTCTTCCTGGGACAGCACTTGACTTCAATCCTGTTTTTTCTCATCTGTTTCAGTCTGTTGCAGCCCCTTCTCTGGAGTCTCGGTGTTGGGTTTCTGCACTGGTCAGCACAAAGCAGTTTAAGACCAGCTTTCTGAATGAGCTTGTTAATTAGCAGATGGTTCTCTCATCAATGCTCTTTGTTCCCTTTCCTTTCTCCTGAGCTCACCAGTGCCGGTGCTGTGATTCCCTGCAGTGGGCCCTGCCTGGTTGCTGGAGCCTCCTTGGGAAGAGTGGGATGCTGCATTTGCTAATCAAAGCTCTCTGTTGACACCCCTGTGTGTCCCGGGCTCCAGGGGCAGTGCCAGGCGGTCCCTGATTCTCCTCTCCGCTCCTGCAGTGCCCCAGGACCTGATGGATGGGCCGGGGGCTGTCCTGCCCCCCATGTGGCAGCCCAGCACCCGCAAGTCCTCCTGCTCCTCCTGCTCCCAGAGCGGCTCCTCGGACGGGGGCCCTGCCAACGGCTGCAGCCACGAGAGGTACGAGGAGCTGCTGCTCCCGTGGGACGCGTGGGCGTGGCAAAGCCAGGGCATCCCTGCATCTGGGACATCTCAGCTGCTCTGTGGACGTATCCTGGCAGCAGGAATTGCTGCTCTGAGGCTGAGCAGGGTCCTGTGATGCATCTCTGCAGGCACAGCCGGATCAGTCAGATCAAAGCCAGGCTGAGGGGATGCACGGGAGCATTTCCTCTTCTGACATCCCCTGTGTTTTTGTTGGCAGAGCTCCGCTGAAGCTCCTGTGTGACAACATGAAGTACCAAATCCTCTCCCGGGCCTTCTATGGCTGTGAGTACCTGTCACATCCCTGCTGCCATGAGACGTGTGATGGGTGAGGGATAAGGCCCTGGGCTCCAGGCTGGGAGTGGTGCTCAGGCAGCCCTGGCAGTGACCAGGGCTCTTGGGACCAGTCTGTGCACATGCTCAGGATGGGGAGCAAACACCTGGACTCTGATCCTTGGACTTGAGCCCAGCAAGCAGCTGGTCTGGTGGTACAAGATGATGATGAGATACTGACTTATCCCAGTAGGACTCCCTGCTTTGGGATGTGGCTTCAGAGGGTCTCCCTCAGGGAACAGACTCATTAGAGCTTTCTTCTGCTCTTCACCCTCATGGCTCCCTGAGGTCCAAGGCTGAATGTTTGGTTTTCCTGCTGCAGGGCTGGCCTATTGCAGACACCTGTCCACGGTGAGAACCCACCTGTCTGCGCTGGTGAACCACAACATCGTGTCCTCTGATGTCCCCTGCAGTGCCAGCTCGGGGCTGACTGTGGACATCTGGCAGAGATATTTGCAGGACAGCACGGTAGGGCCAGGGCTCTGGGGACACACCAGCTCTGGTGCACCCGGGGTGTCCAGGCGGTTGTAGCACAACAGGGTCAAGCACTTTGAGAAGTTCCTCTTCTTCCTTCCTCTGGAAGTCAGCCAGCCTGTCCCAGGCTGCACAGAGCCAGGGCTCCTAATCCTTGGCACATGGGAGCTGGGGAATGAAAGCTACTCTCCTAGACTTGCTTCTGTTCAGAGCCCGCCTGGGCAGTGTCTGTCACCCGATTACTGTGGCCTTGAGGGGAGCCTGCTGTGCTGCTGGGCTCAGAGGCACTGCAGTGACCCGTGGTGACTTTGATGGGCCAGCTTCTTGTGTGGTGAGCTAAAATGTCCACCCACAGCAGCCTCTGGATCTACCTGAGCCCAGGCAGGGATCTGAGGGATCATCTGCAGTAGATGGGCTGTGGGTTTGGGAATAGTTAGGGTCTGGACAGTGTTCCAGGTACTGAAATGTGGCGAGGCTGGGCCTTACACCCAATGGCCATGTCCTGGCTGTGTCTGTGCACTGACTGAGCTCTTCCCACAGAGTTACGAGGACCAGGAGTTGCTGCGGCTGATCTACTATGGTGGGATCCAGCACGAGATCAGGAAGGCTGTCTGGCCCTTCCTGCTGGGCCATTACCAATTTGGGATGACAGAGGCGGAGAGAAAGGAGGTTGGTGTGGGTGTGCTGCCTGCTCAGCAGTGTGGCACTGATGTGTCCTGGGTACTGCACAGCCTAAAGGATCTGTTTGCAGAGCCCACCCTGTGAGCCCAATCTGGACTGGGCTGTAGGTAGGAGTGGGAGAAAGACTTGGATCAGCAGGAATTGACAGGACCAAGCTTGACGCTGCCCTGTGCAGCTGCTGATCCCTCATGTTCAGTGCCCTGCAAACCTCTGGAAGCCAGGGAGGAGATGGATGGGCATTTCCCATCCTAATTTTGGCCAGGTTTTGTGGGTCAGGCACTGTGCAGCAGATGGGTGACTGTGTCCCATCCAGCCATAGTTAACACAAGTGTTCACTCCTCTGTGCAAAGCTGTTTGGGGTGCAGGAGGGGCTGGGTTTGGGCTCTCTAGGGACAGCCATTCCAAGTCCCTGTGTCCCCCCACGCTGCAGGCTGACGAGCAGACCCGTGCCTGCTACGAGCACACGATGGCAGAGTGGCTGGGCTGCGAGGCCATCGTCCGGCAGCGCGAGAAGGAGTCACACGCGGCTGCACTGGCCAAGTGCTCCTCGGGGGCCAGCCTGGACTCCCACATCCAGAGGATGATGCACAGGGACTCGACCATCAGCAACGAGGTGAGGCTGTGGGTGCTCAGGGGAGCTGTGTTCAATCAGGCTCCCTGTTGGATGGAGACACAGGTCTTGCCCATCCTCCTTCCCTGACTCTGCCCTGCTGTGCCTCAGCGCTCACTCATCTGTGCAAGCTGGAGCTTTTTCAACTGTTTTCTTTCACCTGCCCTTCCAGAGTGTTTGGCAGTAGGAGCAGGGATCTCTTGCACTGTGACCCAGTTTAAACTCTGTTGTATTCACTGACCAAGAGGTTGTGGGCTGCAGCTGAGGGACAGATTAGGGGTCTTACCTCCAATTTGCTTTGGCTGCCACAGCCTCAGTGTCCCAGCAGCACTGAAGAGCTCAGATCCAGGACCCCATGGGGGGGCTGGATACAGAGGGACTGAAACCGGGGCAGCAGGGAGAGGGCAGGGACTCCTGGCAGAGGACCTTGTAACTCATTTGTGGGGCCACATGGCCAAATCCAGACACTCTCACCAGTCCTGTGAAATACTTCTTGTGGGTATTTCTGGAGAACGAGGTACTCATTACCTGATGCACTCCTGGTGCACATCAGGTATAGCTCCATGAACGACTGTTGAAGTAGGGGCAGGGAAGACCATGCTCCTGGCACTGAGGGGCTGTGAAACAGGGCAGTGGGCTTGCTGTCTCCCTTTTCCATCAGCTGCTCAGCACAGAGGAACCTCGGTATACCCTTGGTACACAGTGCCATCGTGGGACAGAGCTGGGAACACCCAGCTCCGTGGGACTGGCTTTTAGGAGTTAGATCCACAGCCCAAACCAAAGGGTGTGGAGGGAAAAACCTGTTAAAGGAAAGGCAGTTCTGGGAACAGTGTCCAGGGAGTGTTTCTGTGAGAGTTTAGTCCTTGGAGGAGCAGAGCCCAGCACAGACAGAGCACATGGTGCTGGGTTGTGTGACCTCAGGCTGCCACACTGGTGCCAAGAGGAGGCCCAGATGAACAGGGCCTGGGAGCTGAGCACTGGAGACTTGATCTGTTTCTCTCTGGGAAGTTTGTGTGGGTGCTCTGGGAAAGAGACGAGCTCAGCTCCAATCCTGCGAGCTACGTGTATGCACAGAGAGGGAGAGAGGCAGGCAAAGCAGGTCTGAACCAGGAGCTGTTTGGAACTGGATGATGCAGCTCTCACAGGGGATGAGCAGAGCTGGGCTTACACTGTTAGTGTGGCTGTAACCCCAAGAATCAATCCCTTCCACTCAGCGTCTCCACCGTGGTTCTTTGGTACCCACACGTGCCTGTTCTGGGAACACGTGCTGGGAGGGGAGCTGGCAGAGTTAACACAGGCAAAGGTTCACCCTTTTTCCATCTGAACCTGAAATTTCCTGTTTTAAGTGCTCCCATGGTAATGGAGGAAAGCTGTCGCCCTTCCTCTCTCCATCAGAGCCCTGCCCAGCAAACACCCACAATACGAGGGTGGGGACAACTTCTGCTGTTCTGAATGTGCTGTATTTTCTTAAAATCCTATTGTTTGTGTGTAATGTCATTCCATGCTCTGCACATCTGCTCAGATAACAGGGAGGACTCACTCTGAGCGAGGGCTGGTGGCTCAGAGGAAATCCACAAGGCTGAGCGTGGAGCTGGTGCTTGCAAAGCCCAGCCCTTCCCTCTGTGCTTCAGCTGGAAGCCAGAACAGGGTACTCGTGACTTTGAGAGGAGCTGCCTCTGCTAAGTCTGGCTTAAAACATCAATATTTGTCCTTTAAGAAAAGGAAAAAAAGCATGAATATGCTTGGAGGGGCTGTTTTATAGCCTGTGACTTCATCGTTTATGTAAACTGAGCTGGGCTGAGCCGCATTGCTGCCAAATTAGGACAGAGATTTGTAGAAATTTGCACTCCGGGAGGCAGCGTGACCTCTCTGCAGGCCAGAGGAAAGCAGCTCCTTTCAGACCCAACAGGCAGCTCTTGACAACTGCCCTGGCCTGAGACTTTGGCTCTTGTCACCTTGCTCAGCAGTCGGTGATGGTGGCTGAGGCAGAGCACTGCCCTGGGGGACTCACACGGCGGAGTCAATGTTGATAGGAACGTCCTTCACGGGTCAAATAGGAGAATATACTGCATGCATTTCCTGCTTGCCCTTCACCTGCAGAAATACCACCTCTGCTTGAGCTCCCCCACCCACACCCTGTGCCCTCTGCCTTCTCAGTGCCCTTTTCCCTCTCCCTTGCAGTCCTCCCAGAGCTGCAGCTCCGGCCGACAGAACCACGCCCGGCTGCAGAGCGACTCCAGCTCCAGCACCCAGGTGAGCTGCAGCACCTTGTTCCCTCCTTTTCATGTCCCCACAGCTCTGCCCTGGCTTGAGCTGACCCCTCAAGCATAACCACGGGGATCTCTGGCAAACAGAACCAGTGTTGGAGGAGGTAAATGAGTCCCCAACCTGCTCCGGAGCCACTAAAGTCAGAACTGGCCTCTGCTTGTGGTGTTGAATATTTACCTGCCTGCTCTGCCCCATGGCTGTCAAACTTTAGGGTCTGTGGCTGCTCCCTCTGTTACTGCCCAGGTGTTTAATACCTGTTTAAATCACTTTCTGCCCAGTGTATAATGCCAAGCAGAGCATAGCCCTTCAGAGCAGGGATTTGTGGGTTTGGAGTTGTGCAAATGACCAACTGCTGACTCAAATCCAAGGAGAGGAAGCTAAAGGGTGATTTTCCTCCCTCTCCACCATTGTGAACGTGGGGTCTATGAGTACACAGCTCTTGGGAATATGGGGACTATGTCCCCAGCAGTTTGCTGAATTACCATGATGCTCCCCTGTGTGTCTCTGCTCACACTTTTACAGGTGTTTGAATCTGTGGATGAAGTGGAACAGACTGAAGTAGATGCTCAGCTGGAAGATGGCAAACAAAGCAAGGTCCCCAATGGGACAGTTCCCAATGGCACTTGTTCCCCTGACTCTGGCCACCCCTCTTCCCAAAACTTCTCCATCACATCAGGGTTCTCAGAGCGCAGCTTCAGCAATGAGGACAGTGCCCTGGAAACCAACAAATCCTCATCCAGCTCCCAGGGAAAGGCTGGTGGGTCCGATGTGCCAGCCCCAGCAGACACAGATGGTGTCCAGCAGGAGAAGCTGCAGGGCCAAGACAGCCTGGAAGGTGAATTTCCCAGCGTTGGAAGTGTGGACTTTGTTCCCGTGGGTGAGGGCCCGGCGGGGGCTCTGTGTGACACCGTGGCCCTGACTGTGGTGGAGAGCTGGGCAGACAGTGAGGCTGAGAAGCAGAGCTTGGTGGAGAGTGAGGACAACCTCTCTGAGGAGCCAGAGATGGAGAGTCTGTACCCCCAGCTGGATTCTCTGGCTGTGGCTGTGACTGATCTGACCAACAGTGAAACATCTGCTCTCTCCTCCACAGGTGTCACCTACTCTGTAAGTATGGACCTGTTCAGGGTGGGTTTCTTCCTGGCTGCCTCGCTATTTCACAGAACCACAGAATCCCAGAATAGCTGGGGTGGGCAGGGACCTCTGGAGATCATCCAGTCCAATCCCCCTGCCAAGATTGGGTCACCTGGAGCAGGTGACACAGGAATGTGTCCAGGAGGGTTTGGAATGTCTCCAGAGAGGGAGATTGCATGCCTTCCCTGGGCAGCTGTTCCAGGGCTCTGCCAACCTTCATTGAATGAATTTCTTCCTCATGTTGAGGTGGAACTTTTTCCATTTAGTTTATGGCCATTGCTCCTTGTCGTGTCACTGGGCACCGCTGAACAGAGTCTGGCACCATCCTCTGACAACCCTTGGAGATATTTGTATGGATTGATGGGACTCACCTCTCAGTCTTCTCCTCTCCAGAATAACCAGTCCCAGCTTCCCAGTCTCTCCTCATCAGAGAGATGCTCCAGACTCCTGTGGTCTTCACTGGACCCTCTCCAGTAGCTCCTTGTCTTTTTTTGAACTGTGGAGATCAGAATTGAACACAACACTCTAGATGTGGCCTCACCAGGGCCAAGTAGAGGGGCAGGATTTACCTGCATTTGCCCCATGCTGATCCCACAGTTGGGCGTAGAGGGGCTCCCACCTCCCACCCAAACTCTGCCCTGTTGCTCCGTCACCCTTGCAATCCTCTTCTTGCTTTTTGTTTGAGAACAAATCAACTTTGCTCTTGTTTTGGGCAGCCAGAGCTGCTGGACATGTACACAGTGAACCTGCACCGCATCGAGAAGGACGTGCAGCGCTGTGACCGCAACTACTGGTACTTCACCCCGCCAACCTGGAGAAGCTCCGCAACGTCATGTGCAGGTGGGAGCTGTGGGGGTCAAGGGGCTTTCTGGAATTCACCTTGAGGCTGGAGCACTGAACTTTGCTCTGGCTACTGAGTTTTACCTCCCTGATTTCTGCTCCCAAATCCCCTCATCATCCCAGCAGCGGGGCCACCGCTCCAAGGATGTGGTGGTCCCGAGACCAAGGTGTCACATGCCTAGAGGTGTCCAGCTGTCCCTTGACTGCCATGTGCTGGGTTTTTGGCCAAGGTAGATGCTTCCTGGGCACCCACTGCACTGGATTTATGCCTGGAAAAGGCTTTAACAAGGATCAGCTCACAGAGCCATAGTGCTAATGAGGAAGTACCTGAAGCGCTGGAATGGTTATTGCCTACCCAAAACCCCAGGAGAGAGCCAGACATGGGTACTTTTCTGAGTGTCTTTGCTGAGTCCCTGTGACTCAGAGCTGGCTGAGTGACACTTACCAACTCAGACCTGCTCCAGCTCAACCGCTGCTTCATGGGCAATGAAGGATAAAATATTATTACTCATCCTGCAAACATGAGGAGAAGCTGCTGTTCTATTAGTGCTGTCGCTTCATCTGACAGCCAAAGCTGGAGATCTCTGCTGAGATTAGACCTTCAGTACAGCAGATTTTGGAAAACCAGTGGGCAGGCTGGAAAAGGTCGTTCCCTTGTGCCAGCAGCAGATCCGAGCCCTTTCTGAACGCATTTTGACTTGCTTACCAAATAAGGGAAGATATCCCTGCGAGGCTGGGTGCTTCCTGGGACACTGGGAATGGGAAGGCAAGGCAGGCAGTATTGTGCACAGAGAACCAAGAGGATTATTCAAGGGGGAAGGATGAGAATGAGAAATAAATTAACAAATTCCATCAGTCTCTGTCCTTTAACCAATGACCCTACTGTGCTGTGCTTTCCCATTTTGCTTTTCCCTGCACTGGTTTTCCACGCAATGGCCATGGCACAGCCCTGAATGGGCACCCTGAGACATAGCCATGGCAGGGTGTCAATGCAGGACTGTGCTGTGCATGCCTGCCTTGGAATTTAATAATTTACAGCACAGGAATAACAGAATAAACAGGTGGGATTTCCCCTCTCATCCCGGGAAGGGAGGCAGGGCACGGGCAAAGGAGGTGCCAGGCAGTGGCACTTGGTCACCTCTCCTGCTCTCTCACACAGCTACATCTGGCAGCACATTGAGATTGGCTATGTGCAGGGGATGTGTGACCTGCTGGCCCCTCTCCTGGTCATCCTGGATGATGGTGAGTGGGTGGCTCTGCTTTCCCTGTCCCTTTGTGGGATCATGTGGGGGAATCTGCCAGGCTTGTGGTGGCTCTTTGCATAGAGGGGTCCCGTGCTTAGAGGTGGGGAGCAGGATCCCCTTTGTCCTTGGTGCTGTCTGGCTCCCAGGAGCCCAACTTGGGGGACAGGGTGGACCTTTTGGAGGGATGTTCCTGCTGCAGGTGGCTGTGGGAGCAGGTGCAGCAGAGCCTGTGCAGCCCAGCAGTGGTGTCTCTCCTCCCTGCACAGAGGCTCTGGCTTTCAGCTGTTTCACCGAGCTGATGAAGAGGATGAATCAGAACTTCCCCCACGGAGGAGCCATGGACACCCACTTTGCCAACATGAGGTCGCTGATCCAGGTAAGGGGTCCTGGCATGGGGACAGTGGCTTCTCACACCTAAGGGGGAAAGCTGGTGTTGGGATGGGGGTCTTGGAGGGGCTGAGAGGAGGTTTCAGTGGTGGGAAGCAGGAGGAGACAGCAGGGGCTCTAAAGACAGCCTGGAGTAATGCGTGCCAGGAAAGGGAGGGATGAGCTGGTGCAGTAGGAAAGCAGTGGGAGCAGAGGGAAGCGGGCAGAGGGATGGCTGGGGCCTCCTGTGGTGCACTGCTGAGTTTTCTTTTGCTTTTCTTGACAGATTCTGGACTCTGAGCTCTTTGAGCTGATGCACCAGAATGGGGATTACACTCATTTCTACTTCTGCTACCGATGGTTTCTCCTGGACTTCAAGAGAGGTGTGTGCTGAGACCACCCAGGCTGGGGGTGGGCAGGGTCAGCCAGGCTCCTCAGCACACTCTGCAACTTAGTAGTTTAAACTTAACTCTAAATTCCTTTTTGCTTTTCCCTGGCTTGTGTGGGGCTGTCTGTTCTGCCTGGATACAGAACCTGTTTTTCCAGAGCTGCTGCTGAGCCTCACCAGGAGTGTGTCCTGAGGCCTGTGCCACCTGCTGCAGGCCAGAATGTGTCTCTCTACAAGTGACTGACTTATTGCTTCCAGCTGGAACAGCTTCTTGTGGGGAAGAAGCCTCCCAGCGAGTCTCCCCAGCGCTGCTGTGAGCTCTGTGAGTCAGGATGGTGCGAAGCCACGGCTGGTGTGGTAAGTGCTGGGCTGTTCTGTTCACAGAGCTGGTGTACGACGACGTGTTCTCCGTCTGGGAGACCATCTGGGCCGCCGCGCGCGTCTCCTCTGCTCACTACGTGCTCTTCATAGCCCTGGCCCTGGTGGAGATGTACCGGGACATCATCCTGGAGAACAACATGGATTTCACAGACATCATCAAGTTTTTCAACGGTACAGCTTGTGTTCTGTCGGGCTGAATTTGGGGCAGCTGCTCAGATGTGTGCAGCACGTGGCTGGGTGCAGGCAGTCATGTCTGGGCTCTGCTGTAAATGTTTAACACACACAGAGCAGTGTGAGGTTGTGGAACATGGTGGTAGAGCCCTTGTGCCCCTAAACAGTTGGGCTCTGAGGGGTCTGGTGGTGCTGGGGGAATCCACATGCCATCCTCCAGCACTGACCCACCTGGACATGTTGAAGGGAGCTGAAAATGTAGGCTGTGCTTCCTTCCTGCTGGCTATCATCATCCTGAGGAGCTCTCCAGAGCCAGGTGTCTCTGTGATGGATGGTGCTGGGAATGTGGGCAGGAGCTCACAGCTTCAGCTCTCACCTGGGGCTCAGATGAGGAGCTGTGGGGCTGGGCCTGCTCAGCTCTGACCTCTCTGGGTTCCTCTGTCTGTGTTCCAGAAATGGCCGAGCGACACAACACCAAGCAGATCCTGAAGCTGGCTCGGGACCTTGTCTACAAAGTGCAGACTCTGATCGAGAACAAATGAAGGACACGGGGCAGACGAGGCATCCAAAGAGCCAGGACTCCCCTCCGATGCTTCCTCCCTTCTCCTCTTTCTCCAAGTGCCACACCTGTGGAACTCAGGCAGTGGGACACGTGCTGCTGGCTGAGCTGGGAGTACCCTCAGCTCCCCAAGTGCTGTGCCAGGGGCTCCAGCTCAGACCTTCTGCAGTGACTCAACCAAAGATCCATCCAGGTGTGTGTTACCCATCGGGAGCAGGACCAGGCAGTCACTTCCTGGCCTTGCTGCAGCAGAAGGGCAGCAGGTTTGTGCCCACCACAATTGCCCAGGCATTGCCAGCATCCCAGGGCAGAGTTTGGGGGCTGGGAGAAGCAGAACTCCACATCCTTTGTTGCCCAGACATAAAGCTGCTTCCTTGGGGCCATTCCTGGCGGTGAGAAGGCAGCCAGTCTGTGAGCCCAGACAGCACAGGGATGCTGCCATTCCTCAGCTTCTTACCAACATGATGAGGTTCTGCCAGTAACAGGGGGGACTTTGATCACAGAAATTCCTCTTTTGATCTTGTCCCTTGATGCGTTGCATCCCCTTCAGTATTTTATTTTCTAAGGCTCTGTTTTGTCCCTGGGATTTTACATCAGTTCCTACAATATCTGAGCACACAAGAGTTTCATCTCTAGATGGATTTTCAGAACAGCTCCAAATTCAGCACTGGGTTTGTTTGTTGGGGTTTTTTTTTTTCAAAACCCAGCCTCTGTAACCCTTTCTGAATACTGGGAAATCTGGTCCTGACCTCCTTTGGGAACTCTTGGCTGGAGGTTTTCTTACCTGCCTTACTTTAGCTGCTTGTGGTAGAAGTCCGGTCTCCCTGTCATTCCTTTGCAGCCCCTGTGAGGGGAGGGCTCCTCAGAAGGCAAGTCAGAGCTCCTGATTATCTTGGCTTTTCCCTCTGATGGTGCCTGTCTTCTCCTCTGTCCATTAAGACCAGCTGCTCAAAGCTCGACAGGGCAAACAATCTCCTTGGTGCCTGTGGGTTTTCTGTGTGCTGCCAAGCCCCCTAAGCCCACAAAAAGTCTCCAGTTAGGTCTTGGTGGGCTTTTCCCACATGTCTATGAAGAGAAGAATAGCCCAAGGTCTCTGAGTGGTCTTTGCTTTGGGAAGATGCACTTGTGTGGCCACTTTTCCTGCAGTGACTCCAGTGTTGGAGCCTGGAGCCCACTGCATGAAGTGCCTCTCAGCTGCTGTGTCCTCAGCTCTGCGGAGGGGTCGGAGTCATTTTTCAACTCAGGTAAAAACAAAACAGGAAAAGGAGAGGTGTGGGTGGTTGGAGGGTCCTGCCCAGATTGCGGGGTGCTGTGCCATGGCCACAGGGCAGGCACTGGGTTGGAGCCCTCTTTCTCTAAGGGTACTTTCTCTCAAGTTTTGCTGCAAAAATTTGTGTTCTCCCCTCTGTGCAATGTGTGATGTGTGTGTGCTCTCCTCCACTCCTCTGCAAGGGAAGACCCTGCTCCTGCCTTGCTGCTGGAGTGCTGCCCACGGAAGGGAAAGGGCCTTTCCCTTCTCCCGTGGAACATCTGTCTGTGCTGTTTTGTGTTGGCTCGTGGCATGTGTCAGATGTTGCTTGCAGAAAACAGATGTCAATCTGCACAAGAGAAAACTGCTGCTTCAGGGAGGCTCTGTGGAGCGTGGTGAAGTGGTTTGCTGCTTGAGCAAATCGGGTGGAAAAATGAGCACTTTCTGTATGCTGGGACATGGATGTCACAGCTGGAAAAGGCAGGGAGAGTAGCACATCCTGAACCTTTGGGGGAAGAGCCTCTGGCAAGGGGGAGAGCAAGGGGCAGCCCTTTGCTCCTCATAATCCCAACAGATGTGAACAATGATTTAGGAAATTCCTTGCAGGAGTTTCCTGCAGTAAATCCCCAAAGAGTGCTGTCTGTAGTAGTTCAGGAAACAAAGAGCTTCATATCTGCCAGTTCCTCTGTAGAATCTTCCATCTTGCCACCAAGCAGAGAAAAAAACTCCTGCCCTCCCTCCATCCCAGGCTGCTTCTGTTCCCTCAAGGTTCTAGGACAGGTAAATGCCTGTGTCACCTGTCCAGAGGGGAAGGGAAGTGCTCTGCCCTCCTCTTCCTGAGGGACAGGAACCCACAGGTCTCCTGAAACACAGTCTGACCAAGCAACAGCTCTTACAACTTTCAAGCTTCTTTCCTTGGTTTTTAAACAAAAACAGCCAAGAAATTCTGCACAATATTTGCTGTCTGTATTAACTGAGAGTGTCTTTGGGCCGCTCAATAGCAGTGTTTTTTGAATAATTTTTTTTGGGGGAAAAAGTATTTATTTATTGGTTGTACCTGACTGTGTGTCCTTGTGTGCTGGCGTGTGAGTGTGTGCTGTCGTGCAAATGGAGATAGACATTTTCAGTGTTCTTTACAATATCTTGTACATGTTTACCAGAGAATCGTGTCTATATATAATATATATATACAGTATAGAGAGAAAATATGTGAATTAAGTGGGTTATTTTTTGAGGGAGGGGGTGAGAAATCTTTTGCTTCTAAGAACTGTGTGGTTTCTATAGCACCTATTCCATGATGTGCCAGTCTGATGCTGGGAGAGTTGTGGTGGTGGTGGGGCAACAGGAAGCTCAGAGCAGAACCACCATCATGACCTCAGTTTGGCTTCATCTTAGTTCTGACTTTATAACTGGAAAAGAAGAAAAAAAAGGAGGAAAAAAGGTCTGGTGCTGAGTGTGCAGGAGATGCTCCGCTTGAGCTGTGTGGGGTCTTGTGTCTTGCCTGGGGATTTGCTGGGTTAGAACAGTTGCAGAGCAGGGGTTTGGTGTGCTGTAGAGAAATTGGATAGTCCAAAGAGGAGTCTGTCATTTAATTTGGGACTAAAAGTGCCTGGCCACCCTGTTTGGGTAGGGAGGGAGTGTCCCTGGCCCATGCAGAGCACTGGAGCTGACTCCTCACCAGCCCCTGCTGCAGGCAGAGCCCTGTGTGCTGCTCCACCCCAATCCCTACAAACATCAGGGAAGCCATCTGCTCACTAATATTCCTGTGAGCACTTGAGTCTGAACCTGGAGGTCCAGCTTTGTGTTCCCAGGAGGTCAGAATCAGAATCAAGCTGTGACAATCCCTGTGCTCTGGCCCCATCCATGCCTGGTCCCAGCTCTGCTTTGGGCGTCTTTCCCAAGGCTCAGTGGGGGCAGCTGTGCTGGGCCCTCCAGGGCAGGTTCTTGTGCTTGTGGAGACCCACAGCGAGGCACCCCCAGGTTTGGGGCTCTGATGGCTATATGCTCCTAAAATGGAAACCAAGGGTTTGTTGTGCAGCTCTTTGGGGGCCTTCTCCGGCCCAGCCTCTCCTGCGTGGCTCTGCCCCCAAGCTAGACCACCCTGAGATAAAGCCTTGTCCTGGCGTTCCCACAGTGGGAATCGTGGCCTTGGAATCCAGCGTGGATCTCTCCCAGCTGTGCAGCCATGGAGGAGAAGCCTGCCACCAGGGAATGTTTGTCCATATACAGCAATCTTGTCTGGCTCCTTGGGGGAGAGGAATGTCTCACCCCAGCAGCTCTGCGCAGCTGAGCCCCCCCCTGCAATGGCACTGTGAGCTGGGGACTATCTTTAGCCTGTTGTTGGTTCTGTGGGACCAGGGACTGGAGCTGCTGTGCCTTAAACTGACAGAGGGCAGGGTTAAATTGGATTTTAGGAAGAAATTCTTCCCAGTGAGGGTGGTGAGGCCCTGGCACAGGTTATCCAGAGAAGTTGTGGCTGCCCCACCCCTGGAAGTGTCCGAGGCCAGGTTAGACAGGGCTTGGAGCAACCTGGTCTAGTGGAAGGTGTCCCTGCCCACGGCAGGGGGTTGGAATGAGATGAGCTGTAAGCTGCTTTCCAACCCAAACCATTCCATGCTTTCTGATGAGACTGCTGCATTCTTTCCTGGGGCGCAGCAAGGTTTGCATCCCACTTCTTGCCAGCCCTGTTCTCTGCTCTGGGTCGCTCCAGAGCTGAACCTGAGGAAGGATGTGCTCCACAGGCTGAGCTGTTCAGCTCCCATCACACCTCGCTGAGCATCTGCAGAGCTGTGGGGTTTGGGGTTTATCTCATGCTCGAGCTGCTCAGCGCAGATAATCTTGGTGTGTTTAAATCCAGTGAATGTTTGTGTCCTGGCCTCTCATCCCCCTGAGGGAGTGACTAATGGATTCTCTGCCTGCGTTTGAGCTTTCTGCTGATGCAACCTTCCAACAAGCTCCTGGTACCCATCTCTTCTGGTGTTAACTCATGCAGACCCTTTAGAAATTGTCTTTGTTCCTAAAACGTGTGATTTTTCTAGGAGTTTTTCTCTTGCTGTGTTGAGTCTCTGAGTTACTTTGCTGTGAACATTTTTCGTGAGGACTGAGAGGGTTTTTTGAATGGCAAATTCTTGCTGCCTCCCTGCCCTGCTCTCAGCCAGCCCCTGACATGGTGAACATCCCTTAGCTTATCCAAATGCACCTTGTAGTGCAACTGGAGCCAGCAGTGGAACTGCAGGTGTCAACCATTGTCTTATTTTTCACTCTATTTGGGATTTTCCCCCAGTACCGAGCAGTTCTGGGCTTGTCTTCAGCATTTTACTATTGTATGAGCACAAGTTGATAGAGAAAGAGCACAATGTAGAGATGGAGTGACAGCTTTTTAGCACTGTGGAAGGGCTGGAACTCAGCAGAAGCTGTGTCAGAAATTCCTGTAAAAGTTTTTTCAGACACCCTGAAGTAGATCAAATGTTCCTCTAATCACACTCACGGTCAATACACTCGTTGCCTGCCCCAAATAATCCTATTTCACTGATTAAGGCACCTGAATTGTCGTGATCCCCAGTGACACCATGCTTCTGTTCTCTGATGGCCACGTGGGCCACAGTTGAGGTCGTTCCAGTGCTGTTTACACAGCTCAGTGTGTGGGTTCCTTTTGAACTTTGCCCGAATTCTGAACTTCCCAGAGAATGTTGACTGTTGGAATAGCCATGGAAGCCTTCTAATGTGTCTAATTTTAGATTAATGATACCTTAAGTTCCTGTTTGGTAGTTTAATAACTTCCTTTTATGAATGGATTTTGCACATGAAGGCTGAGCAGAGCCCAGATAGGGCTGCAGGTGATGGTCCCTTCTCCACGGTGGCTCCTGAGCCATAAGCAGTAGGACATGACTAGGAGCAAGGGTACTTTGCATCAGCTCTTTGGTAATGGGGAAAAAGCACCATTTAACCTTTTATTTTAGGTAATTTATTTTTTTAATCATAGCTAAAATTTAAACTATGCACAAGATCTTAAAAACATGAAAGTTTTAGGAAGGGGTGTGGCTTTGCTGCTAAGGACGATAAAGAACTGAAAATTCTGATCCTGGATACTGAGAGAATAAAGATTTCATTGTCATGGCTATGTAAGATTGACTTAAGTTCTCAGAAATTCAGTCTTTCCTTGGAGAGTAATTCCCAGGAGCCAGGTAAGGAGAATGTGTTTTCCCAAACAGAATTAATGAAAATTTTTGTTGAAAATCCAACAACCTCAGACCCATGATTGTCACTTCCCTCATGCACGGAGTGTTCTGGAGAGCTGGGCAGGATGAGTGGGTGCCACAGCCATCGCAGGGGGACATGCACCATCCCAGGCTCCGTGGGACAGGGAATTGCCCCTCAGTGCAGGGATTTGAATGTATCTGATGTCCTGGCATTAGACTTTTCTGTTGCCCTACACCGAATTGCTGCTTTTCTCTGTTTTGATGCCATTTTGGTCTCTGGGAGTTGCTCTATCTGAGCTTAACGAGCACTTACAGCTTTTAATCTCTTTGTAGAAGTGCTGCTAATGTTCTTAGATTATCTGAATTCCACACTGTGGTATAATATCTGTTTTATATTACTTTATTCATGCTTTTGTTTTTTTATGTACACTGTTCCTTATTGTTGTTCAGAAAGAAAAATTAAAGCTCTATGCTCTATGGTTAATGTATTTTCCAATCAATAAGATCCTGGTTGTTCTTTCTGACTGCGTGGTCCCTGGGAAGGGAGGGAAGGGGAATACCCCAAAAAGGGAGCACCAAAAATGCTGCCTCTGCCAGCACTGGGGGTTGTCTATGCTGCACCCAGAACTGTTTGTTTTGAGGGAACAGGGGGGATGCTCAGTGCTGCTATCTTTGTTCTGAGATCCAGGTCTCTGCCTGGGAGGGTGATGCCGGATTCCACAGGGCACAGGGCATCCTGTGTGTTGTGCCAGGAGGGATCTACAGCACCCCAATGTCAGGTTTAAACAGCACCAAGTTTAACTGCATTTCTAAAAATGGGAATGCAAGATTCCTGCCTTTACATACTTATGAGAAGAGGCTTAATTAAATAAAGCCTGGTATTTAATTAATCCTTAATATGTTTGCTTCTTTGGGGCATGTTTGCTCTAATGGCCCAGCCCCAGTTTCCAGTGCAGGCTGAGGGTTTGCAGGGAGCTCACAGCTCAGAACTTCAAAAGCTGATGAAGACACTCCCCAAACATGCAGCGTTAGCAAAATGCCAGGGTGGGATTCAGCCAGCCATTGTGAATGTGTTAATCACTGATATTAATTGGCAATCTAATCACCAGAGGCCAGGTCCCCAAGGTGCCAAAGCAGGAATGCTCTGTGTTCCCCATGTGGAGAGGCTGGCAAAAATCCTGCTGTTTAGATGGAGGAAAGTAAATGATCCTAAAAGTGAATTTCATTAATTTTTAACTGGGGATACTTTCTGACAAAAGCAGATATCCTGAGGTAGTGCTTTGAAGCGCACGGAAATTTCCATCGGAGTTGCCACCTCCGTGCAGCAGAGGAGACAGCAGCCGGAGCAGCTCTGGAGAGGCTGCAGCTCTGTGTGCGGTGCAGGAAGGAAAACAATCCCAATCCCTTGCAAACAAGGGCTCTTTGGAGATGTCCACTATCAGCCGGAGTCAGAGGACAGGAGCTCCCCAAAGGGGCGGTGGCAGCCTCTATACTTTTCATAGGCAATTTTGATCCTTTCCACCGTGAGCCAGAGCCTTCGGCTGCCCATGCGACCATGGTGGATGAACCAGCTCACTCTGGCATGTGCCAGGGCAGCCCAGTGGTGGCTGGGGGGATGAGGGGCACTGGGAGCTGTGCTGGTGACCCCGGCTGTGAGTGCTCGTCCTCACACACCCTCCTGCCAGGCTCAGGCGCCGGCGGCCGGGGAGGACCCGGAGTATTTATAGCCCGTTGTTAACATGCATGAATGGACACGCTGAATCCTGGCACACGCCGCCGAGGACTTGGAGGCTGAACATCTGCTCAGGTGTCCTGGCAACACCCTTCATACCTCTGCCTTCTTAAGGTGTTCCAGTATTTCAGAGAGGCCTTTTTCAAAGGAAAATAAAGCCAAAAATACAAAGGCCAACCCGTAGCTGGGGGTAGCAATACCTGGGCCAATCCTGCAGAGTCCCAGTTTGCACAGACACCACGACCTCACCCCGACACAGCCTTTCTTCCCTACCCAGCCCAGCAGCACTGGGAGTCGGAGGACTGTACAACTGGAATGGGCTTTGCCAGCCTGGGCTTGGGAGTCCCATGGTATCAGAGTGGTTTGGGCTTTAAGGAAGGGACCCTAAAGCTCATCTCTCCACACCCTACCATTTACAGGGACACCTTCCACTCTCCCAGGTTGCTCCAACCTGGCTTTGGACACTTCCAGGGATGGGGCAGCCACAGTTTCTCTGGGCAACCTGTGCCAGGGCCTCACCACCCTCACTGGGAAGAATTTCTTCCTGAAATCAAATCTAAACCTCCCCTTTGTCAGCTTAAGTTCTCCTTTTGCTCAGTTTGAGTGCTGTGCCTGAGGTGGAGCACTCTGTGCTCCCGCATTTCCAATGAGCTTTGGGTGTACCTCACAGCCATGAAAAACAAGCTCAGATCCAAGAGACAACAGAACTGGGAAGTGTTAAGCCAGTCCTTAAGCACAAGGAAGTAGCGTGCTTTTTTCCTGGAACGTCTCTCAGGAAGAGAAAGCATTTCTGCAAGGCCTTCAGCAGCCGTGTTGGAATGACATGTGAGCACTCAGGAGTTATCAGAGAGCTCTTAGATGTGATAGTGCATGCATCGAGATCATCCATGCTGGTTCTGTGGATTTTCCAAGCGCATTCCAGGAGTTCTGCGAGGCTGTTCCTCGGAAGATGCTGCTGTCACTGCGTGGGACTCGGGGTTCAGGGCATGGTCTCTGCTTTAGGGACCAACCTGGCTCTTGGGTGGATGAGTTTGAGCTTTTTATTAGTTCAGCAATTGGAACACGGATCCTCGGCTTTATCGCCGTGACTAAGGACGTGTTGTTGTTGGCTGAGTTACAGGAGTGCACTGAAATCTGAGTCACTCTTCTGCTTGGGAAAACAAAAGCAGACTCCCGGGGAATCTGCATCCCTTTGTTTTCCCCACAGGCCCCCACGCCTGACCATGTCCCCGACAGTGCCATGACCAGGATGGGGCCATGTCCTCATCCAAACCAGCACAGTCAAAACCACCAGAGGCTGTATAATTAGCCAAAATCCCCCACCCACTGGTTTTTATCTCTGGTGCAATAAAACCTCTGTGACAGTGCAATCTAACAACCCCTTCCTACTGGAGAGCATTATACATACAAATTTGATGCTCAATTATCCTTGGTTTTTTGTCAAGGATTTCTTGGCTCTGGTTGCTTTCAGCAGCTGAGGTTTGACAGCCTCTGCCTTCCCAAATTTCTCCTATCTGGAGGAACAATATTTTGTGGACACCGTGGTATAATCCTACAGGCCCTGTCGGAGTGATGATGCTCCTTCTAGGGCCTGGCGGAGCTCAGCCTTCACAAGGGCACAACAGATGCTCTAAGACATCAGACTGTGTGTTTCACAAACTCTTCCCTTTAAACCAGGACACGCTCTCCTGTGTTCCTTCTCCCAGTTCTGCTCCTGAGTCAAACTTGGGAATGGGAGAGGCAGCAATGGGAGTCCTGTGGCCGGTGGGGTCTTATTGGGAAGGCAGTGCCAGGGCTGCACCCTCCCTGTGCTCTGAGCCAGGATGCTCTCTGTAGCTCTGCACTGATTTCCATTGTGTATGAAGAGGAAGAGGTGGGAAAGAGGCTTTTAAGGTCTGCTGCCTTGGTGGTGATGGGGAGTGGGAGGATTTCCTGCTTTCCTTTTTGCAAATTATCTATAGTGGGCACGAAGCACCTTCCTGCAGTGCTCAGTGCCTGAAGAGTGTGGAGAGCTCCTGGCTGGTTCCTTCTGTGGCTCATCCTGAGCCGTCACGGACAGTTTTGGCTCTGATGGGAACAGTTCTCTGGTGGAGGGTTGCAAGGCAGGACACTGAAGTGCTTCCTGCTGAGGGCCAGAGCGTTTCAAACCCACAGAGGCCTGGGAAGAGCAGTTCCCCTGATCCAAACAGAGTGTTTTTGAATACACCTCCACCTCTTCAATAACAGGAGCAACTGGCTCAGCAGGAAGAGACAGAGACTATTTGTGGCTGGAACAAAGGAGGGGATCTTGTCATTGCAGCCAGTGTGGTCAGGCAGAGGTGGGACAAGAGCAGCTGTTCACCCCCATGGCAGCAGAGGAGGGGCTGTGGGGTTTGCCTGTGACCTTCCCACCCGTGTTTGCAGCTGCCCTCAGGTTTGCAGGTGTGTGATGGGTGTTTGGCAGTGGCTCCATGTGCCATATGCAATTAACCCATTTCTCCACTGCAGGGCACTGACAGACTGTGCGAGAGGAACTAGATCATGGAGCAGCCCTGCTGCTGCACGGAACGTTCACTGTTATTCACTGTTTTATGTTTTATGCAATTCTTAGCTTAGTTCTGAAGAGATCCCAGCCTGAGAGTTAATTGTATGGTGGAGAGGAGAAACAGGGGCATTACTCATCCGAGAAGCGGAGCCTTTTGTTTGAAAACTGGGTTTAAAGAATGGAAACTTCTCACAGATAAGGGGCCTGTCATTTTTTCCAAGTGTATATTGCTGCATATCATCACACCAACGGCTCTGGTGGAGTCATAAATCAAAGGGTCAAAGCTCAAATGTCTGTGAGGTGGGTCTGGCAGCATCAGTTGCCATCCACACTGCAGAGAGCAACTACAGCCCTAATTTGCATACATGGGGTAGGGTCTGGAGCACCATGAGCAGCTGAGGGAGCTGTGGGGGTTCAGCCTGGAGAAAAGAAGGCTCAGGGGGAACCTTCTCGCTCTCTTCAACTCCCTGACTGGAGGGTGGAACCAGGTGGGGGTTGGGCTCTGCTCCCAGGGAACAAGGGACAGGACAAGAGGGAACAGCCTCAAGCTATGCCAGGGGAGGTTTAGATTGGATATTAGGGAAAATTGGTTCCCTGGGTTGTCCAGACGTGGAATAATGGGCTGCCCAGGGCAGTGATGGAGTCACCATCCCTGGAGGGATTTAACAGACGTGTTGATGTGGCACTTGGGGACATGGGTTAGTGGTGGCCTTGGCAGTGCTGGAGGAGCGTTTGGATTTTATGGTCTTAGAGGGCTTTTCCAACCCATAATTCTATGATTCTAAAAGAGCCAAAGTGGTGGGTGGCAGTGGGGTGGCAGTTCTGCCCTGTCCTGGAGCTGGGGTACCAGAGCTGACTGTGACAGCCAGGGGGGTTCCTGTCACTGCAGCACTGCAGGTCCCACGGTTGGCCTGCACTACAGCCATTCCCTTTCCCACATGTTTGGGATGTCCCCAGGTCAGTAAGAGCTGGGTGAGGATACAGCCCCTGTGGGTCTGCACCAGAGGCTGGTGGAGCCCAGGCCTGCTTGGAGCTGCTGCCTCTACCCTCGAGTGCTGCCATCCCGCTGGAGCAGCTCCTGTTCCGGGCCTGCCGGGGCTTGAAACATCCACAGTTTCTGTGGCCACTTGGAAGCTCCCAGGTCTCACCTCCCCAGGCCTTTGCAAAGGCACAGCAGAGGCTCCTCCTCAGACAGTGGGAAATGAGGCAGCAGCTTCTTGGGAACATGACTGCTCTTCTTGAAGTCTCCATTTGAATGGAGCCTCCCAGGGGCTGTGGAACCTCTGGAGCCTGGCTTGGCTAGTTCTCTGGCTCTGTTGCTGCGTGTAGGTGTTTTTGTTTGCCATTAAGCGGCTCCTGAATTACTGATCAGATGGTTTCATTGCTCCCCAATACTTGCTGAAAGCCCCGTGTGCTGGAGCAGGGGTTCCCAGCCATGGGTGGAACAAGAACCACTTCAAAGAGGTGTAAGAGGCAGTAACACCCTCTTTGCAGAAGCACTGATCCAAACCACGGATCACCCTCATCCATATAGGAGGTGCCAACTGCCAGCCACAGCCTGAGCTGCAGGGAGGGTGCTGGGGGGGGTGAAAGGTGCCTGATGGGATGGGTTATGGCTTGGCTTCTGGAAAAGAGAAAGGCAAATGAGTCATGGAATTGGGATCCCTTTGTGTGGTGAAGATAAAAGGGTTGTTAAGGCGGGGAAAACACCTATATTACCCTGATTTGGGAGCAAGGGAGGTCTGTGGGAAAGGTATCTTAATTTAAATGGGATGTGGGTGTACACAACAAGGGTGGGGACAGAGGAGATGAGGCGAACTCCGTATTCCTGAAGCTGTTGCACGGCTGGATGCTTTTGTTGCTGAAAGCTTTCCACTGGCTCCCATCCATGCACCTGCTCAGAGGCAGCTCCCATGCACCCGTACGGCTTTCTTGGAATGGGGCATGGAGAGATCCATCAGCTCAATGGCTCAGGACCCCAGTGCCCACAACAGACAGGAGATTTGGGTTGGTTAATGGCAGATGAGGGAGTTCCCTGTGGAGGGCAGGGATGCAGAACCTGATCTTTCCAGGTCCTGCCAAGAGATGGGACCGGAAAATGGAGCTGCCTCTCCCTGTGCCATGGCTTCATCCTGACCCGCTGCTGCCAGGCTCTCCTGCCTCCTGACATGAGTCACAGCCTCTCCGCCCTCGGAGCTGACCTTGGACTCCTCTGTCTGGGAACCACACCTTTGGTAATGACAAAAAGCAGCATTTGGAGCGTTTGAATTGCCACAGCTGTGGCACAGAGGAGGTGCCCGCAGGCAGATCCAGTGGGTGCTTCTGGCTGAGGAGAAACGTTCCCAGTTCTGAGGAGAAACGTTCCCTGGTCTGAGTTGTAATTGTCCCTGGTCTGAGTAGCAAATGTTCTCTGTCTGAGGAGATTCTCCCTGGTCTGAGGAGCTATGCTCCCTGAGCTGGGCTCCTACAACTCCCAGGCCACCATGGCTGTGCTGCCCTGAGGGGTGACAGAAGAGCAGTGGTGGGCTGAGGAGACTGTTGTCCACAAAACCGGATTTGTTACCCTGTGTTCAACAAGCCAATAATGACACACTTGAGAGAGACACTGATTATTTATCAGGGTTGTGCAGCCTGTGTGCTCGATGGTATTCCACAAATCCAGCACACCCCACTGGACTCTCCCTGCTGTTATTTATACACAGAAATTCAGAATTAGTAACTTTCCAAGTACAGCCTGTCTATTAGGATTGGTCAGTAATTTCCATACAAGTTATGTAACCCCAGTTAAATTCTGTGTATTATCAGGGGAAGGGTCTTCACCTGGGCAAGGTCTTCTTGACCTGGAGGTGTGAATTTAGTATTATAATGAACACAGTCCAGCTAAGGATATATGGATCTTGAGTATTTTGCCAAAGTAGCAATGTATGCACAGACATACATCAACATCTTGATTTACATACTTAAAGGTTGTTAGTTCCAGGATGTCCTTGACTAAGAGATACAGCTGCTGCCTATTCCACCGATTAGAATCACAGAATTGTTAGGGCTGGAAACAGGTGGGTATCTGGAGATCATCCACTCCAACCCCCCACCAAGGCAGAGTCACCTGGAGCAGGTGACACAGGACCTTGCCCAGGTGGGTTTGGAATATCGCCAGAGAGGGAGACTCCACACCCTCCCTGGGCAGCTGTTCCAAGGCTCTGCCACACTCGATGGAAAGTTCTTCCTCGTGTTTTAGTTTGTGGCCATTGCTTCTTGTTTCATCACTGGCACCATTCTCTGACAGCCCTCGGAGATATTTGTATAGATTGATGGGACAGTCTCCTCCAGATTAACCAAGCCCAGCTCCCCCAGCCCCTCCTCGCGAGGGAGATGCTCCAGACCCTTCACCATTGTTGTGGCCTCTGCTGGCTCCCCTCCAGTAGCTCCTTGCCTTTCTTGTACTGAGGAGCCCAGAACAGGACACAGTAAAACAATCTCGTCACATCCCATTTTACACCACCCTCACCCCTCCAGCCATTCGCCCTCATGGGACGCGGGGCCGGGACTCGAACCCGCGGCCCCCGAGCGGAGCAGGTGGAGAGGGGCGGAGCCAACCGCGACCGCGCTGAGCGGGGGGAGCCCCGCCCCGCGCCCGGACCGCGCGGTCGCCATGGCAACAGCGGCGCTTCCCGCGGGGCCCCGCGGCCGCCGGGGCGAAGGGGCCGGACCGGCACCGGGGCGGGACATCCCCGCCTCCCTCCAGCGCCTCCCGCCGCCCCGCAGCCCCTCACCCGGGGGAACGCGGAGGGCCGGACCCCGCCCCGCCCCGCCCCGCCCCCGGCCGTGCCCGGTCGCCGCTCGCCGCCGCCGCCGCCGCGGGGGAAAGGCCGCTGCGCTCCCAACTTCACGCAACTTCCCCGGTGCGGCGGAGCCGGCGCAGCCCGGTTCTTCCTGCGGGAGCCGCCGGTGGCTTGGCTGGGTAAGTGGCGGCGGGGAGCCCGCGGTGAGGGGTGGGACAAAGGCGGCCGGTGCTCGCTCGCCCTTGGGGCCGACGCGGGACCACCCGCCGTGTGGCCGGGGCTGGCGCGGAGCGCGCCCCCGGGGCAGCGGGGCGCTCCCGTGCCGGCGGCTGCCCGCGCTGCTCCCGCATGGCCCCGCGCCCAGGTGTCGGACCCCTCGCTGCCGCTTTCTCGCTGCGTCAGAGCCAGGGCTCGTGTCCCCGTGTGCTAAAAAGAGGCAAAAAAACCTCCCCCCACTTCTGTGCTTTCAATTCGTCGGCTGGAGGTGAGGATGGGGCTGTAGGTGGCTTTGGTGGCTGGTGGGGATGATGCGCTGGTGGTTCTGGGGATTTAGAGCGTTATTTTGTAATCCAGGAGGGCTGCAATTATCTGTTCCTCGCTGGATTAGGGATGGTAATGTGCTTGGAGGTCTTAAATGGACAAATAAAGATGTTATCCCCCCTTCTCCCTCCCTGGTTTACAGCCGTGCGGCTGCTCCTTGGGCAGAGCAGGAAGGATTCAAGCATTCCCGAGAGTGGTATGTGACTCCTTTATGCCTTGGATTTCAGGAAATATGTTATCTGCTCTTTAAAACTACTTTTAAGTGCCAGTTTAAGGTCATCACGCTGGTTCTTTTTAATTGGGGATGCACATGGCTTTTCTTCTTGGCATTGTGTGTATAGAATTGTAGAATCCTAGCATAGTTTGGGCTGAAAAGGACCCTAAATCTCATCTCATTCCACACCCCCTGCTGTGGGCATGTATTTTTATTTTGGAGGCACTCGGGTGTACGCATTTGTGTTGTTCTCATGTTACGCAGCTCATTTATCCATTTTTCCTCCTAACTCCAAATCCAAGTGATTTACATGTGCACAGAGGGATGCGCGTTCTGCTTCTGGGTGGAATTACTGATCCAAAAGATCACGTGGAGGTCAGTTCCCTGAATTTACACGGAGTTCTGTGCTCGGATTTGGGAGGGAACAGCACCAGGATTCTGAATGGGAGAAGCTAATCTGTAAAATCCCAGAATTTCCTGTGTGGTGCTGCGTGGAGTCGGGTGGAAAGCTTTGCCTTCCTGAGCCTGCCTGCAGCATTGTTGCTGTTCTTGCCTTTCTCCCGTCTGGAGGTGGGAGATTAATCCCGTGGATTCAGGTATTGACTTGACTTCTATTTCTGTGGCGTAATCCGTGTGATTCTGATTTGTGTGGGGGGAATGGGATTAAGGGAAATCACAGTTGGCAGATGGTGGAGCTCCTCTGTGCCATTAGGAGAAATCGTAACCTTTGATTATACCTACAGATCTGATTCTGTGGAATTTGGTAATAGAATTGCATTCCAGATCAAATATTGCTCATGATAAAATACCGGGATCGCGTTAAAGGAGCTGCAGCAAACAGCAATTGATGTTTTGTCCAAACTGCTGCTTTACTCCAGGGTGGTAATTGCAGGCAATTTTCCCGGTCGGCTGAGAGGTAAACTCTGTTTCCAGGGTAACTGGGAAGTTGTTCAGCTGCTTCTGAGGTACTTTTAGCCAGAACTGAAGGTTGTTGGTATTTTCTTTTCCTTGTCTCTCCTCCGCAAACCAGAAGGATTTGCATCTTTCTAACAACCAAATGAAAACGGGAGTTTTCTTTGTTTTCCTGTGACGTTGGCAGGGTGTGGTAGGGAAGCAGACAGTGTGTGGCAGAAATGCTAATAAAGTTGCCTGGCAGCTTAATCCAGGTAAAGATTTTCTCAAAAAAAAAAAAAAAAAGTCTTTCAAGAATTTATAAACTTTCGCCCTCTTCTTTTGTTTTTTTTTTTTTTGTTAGGCTTTTCTTCACTGTATGCTGTGCATTTTTCTGTAAAAAAATGTCAAGGATGTTCATTAGCAAGTAAAGCTGTAAAGCCTTTATACTTTAGAATAGTTAAAGAGGTAGGAATTCTATTTAACTAGAAGTTGTAGCCTGTAATTCCATTTTGATAGGTGTTTAGTTTATTGAAAATAGATGTGTAAACTTTAGTCTGTTTCAGACGATGCCCTGAGCTAATTCCAAGCTAAGTGTTTCCTTTCCAATATATAGAAGACAAAGAACAGAGTGGCTCTGGAGTGTCACGGTATGGAAAGTCTCTAAAAGAAGGCAAATTCTAGGACTGTGTCCAATTCAAAGACTCTCATTCGTCATTTTTTGCTGTCTCATTTTATATGTGGCAGTAAAGGACGTGCATGGCCCCAGCCCCAGGGTTGTGCTCACGCTGCAGTTCTGGAGCTGCTGGTCTTATGGCAGGAGAAAGGGCAGAGTACCCGTCTGTGCTCCTCCTCACCTGGCTCTGGACTGATGAGATACCCATGGATTCAGAAAATTTCCATGTCTGATGATGAAGCAGTTTTTCCCTCTGCCTTACTGGGGCTTTGTGTAGCTGCAGTTGTTTTTTGGGCTATTTTATTTCTGTTTTCAGCCATGTGCAGCACCATCACCGTGGAGGCTGATTGAGCCCTTGTGTGTGCAGGCTCCCCCAACAGTGGCAATATGCTTCCTGAATGTCTCATTTCTCCCAAAAGTTAAAAAAAAAAGCCAGTTACAACTTGGAAATAGGTTTTATTGAAAGAAGGAACTTCTGACTTTATGTTTGAGGAGTTTACCAATCCTTCCTGCCCCATGGGCTCAAGGTGACATTCAGACCACATGTAAAAGAAGCAAGTCCTGACCAGCAGGTAGATGGAGAGCTTTGGTATTCCTGCTCCCGGGATTCCTTGCACGGCTCTGTGATTTTGCTTGGGTGTTGTCCTGGACTCTGCTCCATTCAGCACTTCTGTTTCTCTGGCTACTAGATAATTTTGAAACCAGTCCTGTCACCTCCCTTCTTGCTTGGTTACTGCAGAGTGAAAAAGGAGCTCTCTCTCCTTGGTGAGGAATGTGTTGCTGTTCATTGCCTGGTCCCTTCCTTGGGATTAGTCTGTTTGTTGGTCATGGAGCTTCCTCTTTTCTGATAGGTTTTCCAAGTATCATCAGAATCAAACTGATAGAGCTCCTGATAATCTTTCTGTCACTGAGTTTGTAAACAGAAGTCAGAAAACTTCCTATAGTCTTGAATATTCAGTGTAGTGGTGCTTGTGGGGAGTGCTGTGCTGATCAGGGACACGGGGCTGGGGATCACGTTGGAGAGGATTACCCCGAGAGTGTCGGCTGGGGACACGATACAGTTGTGACTCCCTCTCCCATACCTTTGCCTGCTCATGTGTTCAAAACGTGCACTGATTTCTTATCGAGGCATCTCACGGATCAAGGTATTTCTCTAAGACTTGGCATGTTTTCTCAAATTGATATTCTACAGATGCTGATAACTCATCATTGCTCACTATCTAGGGGAATTTTTCCTTGGCAAAAGAGTTGGTCACGCTGAGCTGTGTGCTAGGTAGTCAGTGAAAAATTTGACTAGTAAAAGGGTGTGCCTAAATGCAGATTTGGAATGTCTGCATCAAGTTACGTGTAACATCACTATTCTTTTCTTATTTTCAAGCTGGTTCTTATAGGATATTTTCCTGCATGTGGTTGGAAGTCTTTCCTAGCTGGGTAAATGTACGTGATGCTGTTGGTTGTAGGGAGGTGTGCATTGTCTTAGGAAAGAAATTAACATAAACGAGCAGAAAGACTAAGGTGGGTGCAGCTTTTGGGGCTCCTTTTTCAATTCTCAAGTAGCAGCATTTGGGAGGAAAGGACCATTTCAGTGAATGCTTTCCAGAGCCATTCACAGAGCAGGAGGTCCTGCTGTGAGCCGTGGGCTGCTTGGAAAAGTGAGACTGAAATAAATGCTTAATCCTGCAAGCCCAGGCATGAGGCTTGTGGTGATGCTGTGAGCCCAGTCTGTATCACTGGTTTGTGTCTGATGCACAGGGGTGACTGGAACCTGGGAATGTTGCAATATTCTAGGTGTGTTTTTGGTTTGTATGTAGGAATCGCCTGAAGACATCATAAGGCAAAAGCCACAGACTTTTTGCTTTTGCTTCAGAAATCTATTTAAATGAAGAGTCCCTGGTTGTGGCAGTAGCCTTTGCAGTGTAAACCACTGTGGGGTTGCCTTGAGCTTGCAGCCGAAGGGACTGGAGTAGTAGTATTGGGAGAGCTGTGGAATTCGCTCCACAGCAAAACAGTCTTGAATCCTGACCATGGGCTTGGTAGGTTTAACAGCTTAGCTTGAAGACATCGTGCTTGACATGCTCTGGGTGCACCTGCCCCACGCAGCTGAACGTACAGACTTTTCCTAGTAATGCCCAGGAATTGGCTGGGTATGTGGTGCCAGTGAGATGGGACTGTGAGGCTCCGATTCCGAGAGGTGCTCTACTTGCTAGATTGGAAGAGGTGAATGAACCTGACTGCTCTCGTCCTTCATTGCTTTGTAGTGACCTTGAAGGACATATGTGAACTTCTTTCTGAACTCTCAGGCCTTTCTTTTTCAATCTGTGTTCTAGGAATAATTAAAAAAATAACGAGCAACAAATGAAAACCAGGGCAAGCCAATTACTGTTTGCCTCGAGTGGGCTTCCAAGGGTGAAGAGGACTTTCCTTGTCTTTGATTCTGTTAACTGGCAGGAAAACAAAAACCTAGATATTAAATGTTGTCAAAACACACTAAATTTGGTGTGGTGACTGTTCTTTTTGCAGCTATTGGTTAAAAAAAATTACTAATGTTTCCCTTGTTTTTCTCATGACTGGTATGACCTGAACGTCTGATCACGAAGGGATATTTAAGTCTACAGAGTGATAATTTTCCTCAGGCCTAGGCTTAAATAATTCAGACTCTTAAAATTAAGCTGTTGATGGAAGCATACTTAATCTTTAAATTCTTTTCTCAAATCAAGGAGGCTTATTTTCTTGCTTCCCACTGTCTTTGGTTTGTTCTGGGAATATGTAATGCTGTAACTTTTGCAGACAAGGAAGCCTTCAGGTAGCTTGGGGATATTTTCCACTGCATCTATATAAATAGTAGATAATTAATACATATTTTCTCAGTTCCTGAATGCCTTACAATTATGTTGAAACAATGGGAGTTGAATTTTCTGTTTATACTCTTCGTCTCTACAAAACACACTTGAGGAGAGGAAATGAATTTTTTTCTGAGGGTTGTGTGAATGCAGTGATGCAGTTTGAGCAGTCCAGGACACAGAGGGTTATTATCCCAAACATTGCTTGTTTGTGGTTGAGTCATGTCCTATGAGCACTCACTTAAATGCTGGGGGCTGGGGGGGATCTGGCCTCCTCTAAAGCCACTTACAGAGCCGTTCATTAAAAGTTGTTATCAGAATTAAGTGCCGAAACTTCCAGTTTTGGACTAGAGTAAAGCTGCTGCTTGCCTGAAAGGAGATAGTGTTGGTCTTGCAGCAGAGTAAGAACTGAAAGCTCCTTACTATTGCAGTAATTACGAGTCAGGATGGTCATTAGCCTGCTGTAACGAGCAGAAAAAGATAACAATCCAGTTGGTGGAGGTTTGTATCTCCACAGTGTTCACTTGGAGGGAAGAAGTGTCTGCTCCAGCAGTTCCTCCAAAGGGCGATGCCGC